TCTGGTTCTGGATCTGGATCTGGATTTGGATCTAACTGAAGATGCCCATTTAATTCCTGATATGATCTTATTTCTGGATTTTCAGAAAGCTTTTGATTCGTGGAGCATCCTTTCATTTTGAACATAATCAGAATGCAGATGTTAACAGCTGTGTTTCCTTAGCAGAAGGAACAAGTCCCAGATTTACAACAAAGAGACGGATTAGACAAGGATGGAGTGTTTCACCTCTCCTGTTCATCACGTTACTGAGCTCTTGGCTACAAGAAACTCCAGTCTTCATGGTTTACAAATTATGAATCAGAATCTAAAAAAGTTCAATCTGGTCCTCTGGACATTCAAAAAAAACCAAAAAAAAAGCAAATCAACAAAAAAAAATGTAGAAACGTTTCGTCTCTCATCCGAGAGACTTCCTCAGTCTGAGGTGCTGTATTCAGCTCAGTCTTATAAATAGCACCTTCTCAGGGTGGATCAACCAGTTTGCTGCTGACAACCAGAACCAGCTGATCACATGGTCAACTTACGGAGGTTTTAGGAAAAAAGAGCTCTGTGTTTCGCTGCTTGGCACAGGACGACATATTTCAGCACAGATTGGAAGAATTGAGGGTTTTATCACTTAAAATTCATCCATTAATGAACTTCATCCATCCCTCCATCCATCCATCCATCCATCCATCCATCCATCCATCCATCCATCCATCCATCCATCCATCCATCCATCCATCCATCCATCATCTGTAGTGATATGGGGTGTAAATGTATGTTTTGATGATCAGTTATGAGTGAAGCTCATAAGATATGCAAGTATTATGCAAATAACTTCGTTGTTTGGGCACCACCTCTCTTGGAGAGGAAAAATCAGTCTCTATTTACCCCAAAATAATGTAAATTGAATGTGAGTTCTTTTCTTGTGTTTAAAGGCATCAAATCAATTAATACACACAAATATGCCAAAATAATCACAAATTCTGTTGAATTTTCTTCTAAAAATAATAATCTGATACAGTGATGACAATTATGCATGACAAAAGTTAAGTGAACTGATTCAAAGGTCTAATTGATGAGTAAAATTAGTGAAACTTAAAGGCAGACTTTGGACTGGTTTCTGTTTGTAAAGTGGTTAAAATTGTGTCTAAAGTGATCTATCGTTGTCTGATAAGTTTATTGTGATGTAGGTTCACCAGAAAAGCATTGAAAAATCTCTCTCCTACCAGGATGTAGATGGTCAGAGCATGGTTCCGACAGCTGCTAAATGGTACCAGCCTCAGATGTTCTAGTGACTGAGAGGCTTAAGTCTCCTCAAAGTTCACCTGTCATCGGTTGGAGGGATGAAGGTCCGGCCACTGGCTCTGGAAGTCAGCTGGATTTACCACTCCTCTGCTGTGAGATTCTGGTTGCCTGTTAGGCAGCTGGAGCCCTGGATTCAATGCCAGCCTGGTTCTGGTCAGGTGCTGGGTAATTTACGTATCTTTCATCCTGTCTCTCATTTTGAGACATCTGCAGAAGGGTGCTTCTCGTTTCTTTCT